CTTCCAAACCCTAATAATGGCGTAAGCTTGTTCCTGCATTAGAAATCAAATACAGGCTATCCAAAAGATCACAAACATGATTATGAATACATTTATGCAAGCAAATTGGATTAAAAGTGCGTAGAACCCTGAAAACGAGTTTGAGTTCAGAGGGTGCAAACCGTGAGGATTATGTGATGATTCCTGGAGCTTTGAGGCGTGCAAACGATCGTGTTAGCTTCTGGGAAGGTCCAAAGAAACGATTGGTAGCTTTGAAATTCTTTGAGTTGGCCTCTAAACTGGAAATTAATCCACCACTTTTTTGACAATTTTCAGTTTTTGTTTTCAGATTTTACGACCTGTAATCCTTGTTTTCTTGGCTTGGTTGTGTCCTATATATGTATTAGAATTGATTAGGTCAACAAAAATGCATTGTATCTTGGTGAATTAAGAAGATTTGATTTGATTTTGTTCTTGTATGATATGTTTCTAAAACAAGCCCAATCATGCCAATTTTGCTCCAATTTGCCTTGATCTGATTCGATATGGTATGCTAGTTTGATTGGATTTGATTCCTACAAAAAATCAGATCAAAAATCAATCTTTTACATTTTTTGTACTTTATTTGATTTAATTTGAATTTTAAATGATAAAAAATCAAAATAAAATAAATAATGAAGAAAATAAGGTGTAGATACTGATTTGGACCGTGGACCATCTCACAAGCAAGATGCAATCTTGAAAAACTAGGTCCATTTGACAAAAAATGCATTTTTGAGCACATTTGACTTTTGGCAATTTTGCAAAAATGGCCAACTTTGACAAGGCATATCTCCTCCAATTTTAACCCTAGAGGGGTGTTCTTAGACTTTTTAGAAAGCTTAGGATGTCCCATAAACAACTCTTTTGATCTCATCTCAATTGGGTCTTCCATTTTCATGTAAGAAGCTTTGACCCAAAAGGTATTTTTGTTGACTTTTCAAAAGGACCTATAATGTAGAAATTCATATCTTTTGGTGAGTGCATATTTTCAACTTGTGGGATGAATATGAATTGTAGGGAATTGCATGCTCTTCAAAATGAGCCTTGGATGGAAAATTTCTGATAAAGTATGAAGAAGTTATGCTTGGTCAAAGTTTTGGTTGACTTTCTTGAGAAACCCTAATTTAGCAACTTTTGGGTTTTGATGAATTTGGGGCATTCATTGAGGAATCATGATCAACCCTTGATCAAATGATAAATATCACTTCAAAATGTTGATGTTGACCAAAAATCTTGAAGTTTGACTGTATGTGGGCCATAGTGGACTTTTGACCTAGTATAGTTGATTTTCAGGCATTTGAGTAGTTGACTGAGCAAACTTCTTGTGCAAGGCATAAAACTTGACATGGATGACCTTGAGAACATATTAGGACAATGGAAAGCATTTGGGACCTTTGGAGCTCCCACACCCTGATGAAAATGGAAACCCTAATTTGAGGTACATTGCCTAGGAGAGAGTTTGTCTGATCAACTCTTGGGCATCCTTGAGCAAATTGAGGACCTCAATGGGCATGTGTTGAGTAAAATAAGAGGGAAAATTTTGGGGTACAACAATAGTTCTCTTGTGATCTGTTTTTGATAGATTTGAAGGTTGCAAGCTAAATCTATAGAAAAAACTTGGTTGAAGGTTGTCGAGTTGAACCAATGTAAAGCTTTGGGTTATTTGTTTAAGGTTGTTTGGGTTGATCCTATGTAAAGTTCAAGTTCGCTTTTGTAAGGTTGTTGGGTTGATCCTGTGCAAAAGTTCAAGTTGTTTTGTAAGGTTGTTTGAGATAATCATGTGCAAAAACTCAAGAATGTTTTAGTGGAAATTTCAAAGGGAAACTCTTGAGGACTGAATTTGATCAAGTGGTTTATGACAAACCATGATAATTCTCTAGTATGATCTTTCTATCATTTTCTCTTTCTATTCTTGTTATTTATATTTGTTCCAGTGGTTATTTCTATTTCTCTTCTTTTTTTATTATTTCGATGAATCAACTCTATTTATTTCTCTCTTTTAACTTAAATTATTTTCAAATCAAAATATTTTTATAAATCGATTTATAAAATTGATTATCACAATATTCCGTCGCCTTGTGTTTGAAATAACTTTATTAGCATAAGTATTTATGCACTAACTTAAGAGGGGGTGTTGGAGCAACAATATAATTTTCTTATTTATTCCTTTTCGATATGCAATTGTAATCTCAATATATATATATATATATATATATATATATATATATATATATATATATATATATATATATATATATATATATATATATATATATATATATATATATATATATATATATATATATATATATATATATATATATATATATATATATATATATATATATATATATATATATATATATATATATATATATATATATATATTATTGCCAAAGAATAGGATATAAAATATTTGCTAATAAAACACATTAAAATTTGATAAATGATCGTTCTTGTTTGAAAAATCTAGTAAGTTTTGTTAAGAAAAATTGAACATGTGCAGTAACTTACATAGTGAAATTAATTATTAATTTACAAAACTATATAAAATTTAATTAGTGGAAATGTATATTTAAAATTTTGTAAACTTAGTTCAAGTTTGAGAACTTAAATTCATAGTATACATTACTCATTCCAAACAGATCGGAATCACCTATGCTTGTGCTTGCAGAATCGCCACCTTCCCAACCATACTTTAAATAAAAGTGCATCCAACTGATTGTAAGTTGTAACAATGATGTGAAATCAAATAGGTGCATTGCATGCATATACTACATTTTATAACACACCTTGATTTGCAAGACTTCTAATATCATTCACAAATCTTACCTCCCTTACCACTAATCATACAATCATGACGCACCACCTTCATGACATGCAAAAGATACACCTTTCTGAACTAAAATTACACCTAATAAACCAATCATTAACTTTCACCTCCTAAACTATAAAAGGAAACTCTTTCTCACTCTTCCTTCCCACCACCTTCAATCAACAATATAAGCACTAGTGTCTTCTAACAATTTCAAAACAACACGTCAAGAAAGACCAAAAATGAATAACATCATGCAACAATCTCTCATTTCAACCTCATTCTTTCTTCTAGCAATCACTTTCTACACTACCGCCTCTTTAGCCCAACTCTCACCGATTCAACCTCCTACAACAACATCATCACCACCATTACCATCAATCACAGCATCACCACCATTACAAGCAACAACAGCAACTGCACCATCTCCAGGACTAAACACAGTACCACTTGTACCAACAACACCAACTGGTGCACCATCACCGCTCATCCCAAAAGGACCCACCATTGACATAATCAGCATCCTCCAAAAAGCAAAGAGATTTTCCGTCCTAATCCGTCTTCTCAAAACAACACAATTAATCAACCAACTCAACTCACAGCTTGTATCATCATCAGGTTCAGGTGGTTTAACAATTTTCTCACCAGAAGACAGTGATTTCTCCAAACTCAAAGCTGGATTCTTAAACTCTCTATCTGATAGACAAAAAGTTGAACTCTTACAGTTTCACACTCTTGCTTCATTTATTTCAATCTCAAACTTTGATACCTTAACCAACCCTGTTCAAACACAAGCCGGTGATGATGCTAGGCTTCAACTTAACGTCACTACTTACGGTGGAAACCAAGTTAGTATGGCTACTGGAGCTGTTAATGCTTCCGTTACAGGTACTGTCTATACTGATAGCAAACTTGCTATTTATCAGGTTGATAAGGTTCTTCTTCCTCTTGATCTTGTTCTTCCAGCTAAGGCTCCAGCGTTAGCCCCTGCGCCTGGTAAGGGTTTGCCTAAGGCGGGAAAAACTAATTCTTCTGTTGTAGATGATGGTAGTAGTGCTGGTAGCGATGATAGTGATGGAAAGGTTTTGCCGGCAGAGGCTTCTAAGGCAGGGGCTGTGGTGATGTGGGTGAATTTTGTTGTTTTCGGAATGGTTTTGGTTGGTGGAGTTGTTCTATAAGGTGGATTTGGAATTATTGTTTTTGTTGTAATTTTTTTTATGCTTTGTTTTGTGAGTGATTCTATTTTCATTTGAGGTTATTTTACTATTTTTTATTATTCTTCATCTATGTTGTTTTGTTTTTGTAACTTGTAATTAGTGTTTCTTACATGGACTCTTGAAATTCCATTTATACATGAGGGACTTAGGTTCTGTAAATTATTTTTTCCACTCTGTAATGATATTATACTGCTCAAAACCCAATTTTCTTTGGAATTTTTTTCCACAATGCCACGTTTTTGAAATAAATTTCCTAGAATGCCACATTCTGAAAATAATTGTCCAAAATGCCACACTCAGAGGGGTTCACGCCATTTCAAATGATGCGAATGTGGGACCCATAAAATTTATTCAGCTCTTTCACGCCATTTCAAATGGCGAAAATCCTTTGCAGCGTATGTGAGTCCCACATTCGCGCCATTTGAAATGGCGTGAACCCCCTTAAATGTGGCACTTTGAACAATTATTTTTAGAAGGTGGCATTTTAGAAAATTTATTTAAAAAACGTGGCATTTTAGAAAAAAAACTTTTTCTTTGCTCATTTCCTTGTGCCGGGTCACATAGTAGTAAGGTCCAACTTTGTAGGCAATTTGGAATGTCTTTAATCTCACACTTAGTAATATGAACAAGGCATCTTTACTTTATTAAATGTAAAAGATAAATTACAAGTGATACTGATACTTATAGATGAAGGAGGGTACATACGCTACATTGTAAATATAGGATCAAAGCCTACAACTAACTTCTAACTAATAGTTAATTAACTAAATATCTATATATGGAAAGCTTGCATAACAAGTTAGTAATTGAAAGTATAAGAAACTTAGTGTAATAGTCTTTACGACTTGATCGTCTTTTTCCTCCTTTTTAGGAAGTCTGTTACCGTTTTCTTTTTTGTATCTTCTGCTATAAATACTGTATAGCTCTATTGGTATTGAATAAGAAAGATGAATAATATTCAATGGTTTGTGACTTCCAATATGGTATCAGCTTGACATCTTTCCTTCTCCTCCACCACGTGTGGCTTTCTCCTTCCTCCTTTCACCGCTTTACCAATTCTTATCTTCTCCCAACACGTCTCTTCTTTTATTTGCTTCTTTCCAAAAATTGACAGATTCTCTTTCTCCATCCGATACGCAACATCCTTTTCCCTTCGCTCATTTGCAGATTTCGTTTTTCTTTCTTCTTGAAATTCTCTCTTCCTATTCAAGAACTTACTTCTCTTTCCCTGAAACCCTAATTTTCCTTCCCCACATCTCCTCTATTTTCATGGCCGCCGCCGCTCCCTTTTTCAATTTCGTCACCAATCCCTCCAACCCCTACTATCTCCACCCTAACGAAAATCCCTCCCTTGTCCTCGTCACTCCCCTTCTTGATCATGACAACTACAACTCATGGTTAAGAGCCGTGAAAGTTTCCCTTATCTCCAAAAGTAAACTGCGCTTCATTGATAGCACTTTTGCTCAACCCACCGCCGACACCACTCTTTTCGATCCCTGACTTCGATGAAACAACATGGTCCTTTCTTGGCTGCAAAAATCGGTTTCTGAAACCATTGCTCAATCTATTCTGTGGATCGATAATGCATCTATTATTTGGAAGAATTTGGAGACACATTTTCTCAAAGTGATATATTCAAAATCTCAGATCTTTAAGACGATCTCACCAACCTGCATCAAGGTACCCTCGACGTTTCCACCTATTTTACCAAAATTACATCTCTTTGGGAACAATTTGACGCGTTTCGACAAACTCGGGATTGTACTTGTGCTATTCCATGTACCTGTGGCGCTGCCTCAGATCTCCGTCGTTACAAAGAACGCATTTGTACTCATTGTGGTCGTAACAATCACACTATTGATACCTGCTTCATGAAACACGGCTACCCTCCCGGTTATAAATACAAAAGCCACAAGTCTTCCGTCAACAATGCTATAGCTTCTCCTTCACTCAAAGCTCCACTTGATTCTGCTTCTGATCCTTCGCCTTCTCTTGCTATCATTCAGAGTCAATACAACCAGATACTACAAATGCTTCAACACCAGCACTCCTCTGCTTCCGCTCCTACTACCTCCGATGCCACTCCTCTACCCAACATCAACTATGTTTATCCTCTTCTCGATGGTAAGCCACATGTATATTGGGTACAGGTTTTACTCATCACATCACTCCGAATTTACGCAATTTTCACTTTCATTGTTATGTTCCCCATGAAACTCCCTGATGGCACCACTGTTAAATCTGACATTGTTGGAACAGTTCATCCATCTAATTCCTTAACTCTATCTAATGTTTATAATATACCTATTTTTCATGTTAATTTAATTTATGCTACAAAATTTATCGATTCTTCTAGTTGTACTCTTACTAACAAAGACTGTCTTATTATGAAGAAAAACTCTACGAGAATGATTGGTTTAGCTTAAAGATACAAATATCTTTATGTGCTTAAAGCCCAGGCCATCCCATCTCCCTCCTCATTTACTTTTAATTTTGTACATCATTCTAACTTTGATTTATGGCATAGAAGATTAAGTCATCATTCTTCTAATGTTCATAAAATCTTAGTTTCTCAATGTACCGTTGTTACTTACACATTAAATAAAAAAGTTTCCTTGCCATATTTCTAAACAAAAACGCTTACCTAATCCCGATAGTATTACTCAATCTATTAAACCTTTTGATCTTCTTCATGCTGACATTTGGGGTCCTTATGCTACCCCTTCCATATGTAATCAACTATATTTTCTAACTCTTGTTGATAATTTCTCTAGGTTTACTTGGGTTATTTTCATGACCCATAAAAGTGAAACAAGGTCTCATTTGATGCATTTTATGGCCTTTATTCACACACAGTTTTCTACTATAAAATGTTTACGTAATGACAATGGTCCTGAATTTTTGATGACTGATTTTTACAAATCCAAAGGGATCTTACACCAAAAGTCTTGTGTTGAATGTCCTCAACAAAATGGCATTGTTGAATGCAAACATCAACACATCCTTAATGTGGCAAGATCTGTTTTCTTTCAATCTCATAGTCCTCAAAATTTATGGCATTTATCTATTGCTCATGCTATACATCTCATTAATCGACTCTCTTTCCCTATTATTAATCATAAAACTCCTTATTTTCTTTTATATAACAAATTGCCTGACTATAATAATTTGAAATGCTTTGGCTGCCTTGTGTATGCCTCCACTCTTTCTCATAATCATAACAAAATTTCTCCTAGGTCTCTCAATTGTGTGTTTTTAGGTTATAAAGAGGGAACCAAAGGCTATCTCTTGTATGATTTAACCACTAACTACCTTTTTGTTTCAAGGAATGTGACCTTTCATGAAAACTCTTTTCCCTTTAAAAACCCTCATGATCATCTTAATATCCCTCCCATATCCACCATACCCCTACATACCTTAAACCTTTCAATCCACCTTCTCCTCCTCCTAAACCTAACCCTCATGTATATTAAATCTTTGAAAACACAATTCAAGTTTGAGGAATGAAATTCGTGGTATCCCTGACTCATTACAAAGACATGAGAATCACTTGTGCTTGTCAAAAGTGCATCCAAGTGAACCTTGATTTCAATCACTTTCTAATATCATTCACAAATCTTACCTCCCTTACCACTTATCATACACTATCATAACGCACCACCTTCATGACAGAACTTTGCACCTAAACCTAATTAACCAATCATTAATTTTCACACCTAAACTATAAAAGGAAACGCTTTCTCCCTCTTCCTTCACACCACCACCAAGCAACAATATTAGCACTAGTTTCTAGTACTGTCCTCTCACCATCTCCAAATAACACTTCAAAAATACCAAAAATAAAAAACACCATGCAACAATCTCTCATTTCAACCTCAATTCTTCTTCTAGCAATCACTTTTTACACCTCCACCCCTTTAGCCCAACTCTCACTAATTCAACCCCAACAATAACAACATCACCACCCTTACCATCAACCACAACATCGCCACCGTTACCAGCAACAGCACCATCACCAGGACTAAACACAGTTCCGCTTGTACCAACAACACCAACTGGTGCACCATCACCCCTCATCCCAAAAGGACCTACTATCGATATAATCAACATCCTTCAAAAAGCAAAGAGATTTTCCGTCCTAATCCGTCTTCTCAAAACAACACAATTAATCAACCAGCTCAACTCATAGCTTGTATCATCATCAGGTTCAGGTGGTTTAACAATTTTCGCACCAAAGACAGTGATTTCTCCAAACTCAAAGCTGGATTCTTAAACTCTCTATCTGATAGACAAAAAGTTGAACTCTTACAGTTTCACACTCTTGCTTCATTTATTTCAATCTCAAACTTTGATACCTTAACCAACCCTGTTCAAACACAAGCCGGTGATGATGCTAGGCTTCAACTTAACGTCACTACTTACGGTGGAAACCAAGTTAGTATGGCTACCGGCGCAGTTAATGCTTCTGTGACCGGTACTGTTTATACTAATAGCAAACTTGCTATTTATCAGGTTGAAAAGGTTCTTCTTCCTCTTGATCTTGTTCTTCCAGCTAAAGCTCCGGCGTTAGCCCCGACGCCTGGTAAAGGGTTTCCTAAGGCTGGAAAAACTAATTCTTCTGCTGTAGATCATGGTAGTAGTGCTAGTAGCGATGATAGCGATGGGAAGGTTTTGCCGGAGGAAGCTTCTAAGGCAGGGGCTATGGTTATGTGGGTGAATCTTGTTGTTTTTGGAATGGCTTTGGTTGGTGGAGTTGTTCTTTAAGGTGGATGTGGAATTATTGAATTTGTTGTAATTTTTTTGTATGCTTTGTTTTGTTTTGTGAGTGATTCTGTTTTCATTTGAGTTTCTTTTACTATTTTTTATTACTCTTCATCTACGTCGTTTTGTTTTGGTAACTTGTAATTTGTGTTTCTTACATGGACCATTGAAATCCAATTTATACAGGAGGGACTTAGTGTTAGATTTAATTTATATTTTAGATATTGATTTATATTTAGGAATATCTTTTTAGAGAATATTATTATATCTTTGTTAGAAGATATAATTTTGTGTATAAATAGCCTAGTGGAGTAGGTTATTTTAATTCATTATAAATCTTTATTTTTGAAGCTGTCAGTAAATTTTTATATTTTCCTTGTGCACAAACAATTGGTATCTAGAGTTCCTGGTTAGAAACTCTGGATTTGGGAAACATTGTTTTCATTGAGTTTCTGCGTAAATTGCACAAGATAGAAGATAAACGGAAATGACAACGATATCCATTCCAAGATTCCAGTATTTGATGGTAAAAATTGAAATCGTTGGAAGATTCAGATGCGCGTGTTATTTGGTTCTCAAGATGTGTAAGATCTTGTCACCGATGACTATAATCTGTTAGAAGCAGACGCAACAGAGACACAAAAAGTAGAACAGAAGGTGCTGAGGAAGAAAGATCAGAAGGAGTTGTTCTACATCCATCAATGTGTGGATGCTAATGTGTTTGAGAAGATTGTTGATTCTGAAACAGCGAAGGCTGCATGGGACACACTGGTCAGATATTACGGTGGTGACATATCAATGAAGAAGGTGAAGCTTCAGTCTCTCAGAAAGCAATATTAGAATCTCAACATGAAGGACAACGAGAAGGTTTCCGAGTACATCTCTAGAGTGATTATGATCACTAATGAGATGAAAGCTTGTGGAGAAACCCTTTCTGAATAAACAATCATTGAGAAGATTTTGAGATCTTTAACTTCTCAGTTTGATTACATTGTGGTAGAAATTGAACATTCCAAAGATCAGAGCACCGTGAGAGTTGAAAGCTGCAAAGTAGTCTAGAAGCGCATGAGTTGGTTGTACTCCAAAATTTGCCCTCTCATGTCTCAAGGGCTCTTAGAACTACTTCAATCAAGTTTTAAGCCTCAGATCACAATTTTCTAAGAAGAATCATTCAAATTGTCAAAAGGGGGCAAAATGAGCAAAATTGGAGTTTCAGCTGGAAAAAGTCAATCGGACGCTAAAAAGTCAAATTTTGACTTTTTGACCAAATTTGAGTCCCAAAAATCACATTATGTCAAGACATCCAAAAAATGAAATTTGATCATCAAAAATCAAGAGAATCAAAATCCAACTTTGCAAGACTTTAAAATTTTTCTAAGTATTTTCTATACTTGGTTAATCTCATTTACTTCATGACATCTTTTACTACAATTCCAAATAATTCAAGATGATGCAAGTAATTCAAGTTATTACAAAGTGGCATTTTTGCAAAATTATAAATTCTAAAACTATGTCTTGTTTGAATTTACTCAAAATCTTGCCACAATATTTTGCTCTTGATATGATGTGCATAAAATATTCCACAAGACTAAATTTGTGTCATGCTACAGATTATAATGTCCAAGTTGAACAAAGTGTGTTATGCTACATTGCCACAACACCTCAAAACCTGCTCCATTGCTGCCCTACAAGAAACCCTGTGCTATGCTGCCCCACAAGTATGCATATGTTGTCCTATACAGTCCAAAACTGTTATATGCAGTCTGCCCAAACCTGCATCATAACAACCCCAAGATTGCACCAAAATGGCAAAAGAAATTTGTGTGAAGAAAATATCAAAACAGTAGGCAAAAACAATTCAAAATAACTTATTTTGTTTCCCCCTAAACCTCAGTCAGGGGTCTACAAAAAGAGCAGCCTCATAAGACACAGAAAAAGAGAGGGATTTTTTTCGGAAGCAGGATTTTTGACAGAGAGAGAGAGAGAGAGAGAGAGAGAGAGAGAGAGAGAATAGAGATTTGTTGAGCAGAAAAACAAATATCCTTTGTAACCTTGACTCATTCATTTTCAAACCAGCACCAGTTCTTATTCAAAAACAAGACCCCAACCCATTACTCCATCATACAAACTCTCCTTTAAGCCAAACACCTTATCACATACAAAGATTGTCCAAACGTAAAACAGTCCCTGCAGTGCTATCATTTTCACCCTCAAAACACCAAAAACATTAGAGTACAGTCTAACTTAATTTCAATAGTCCGGAGCAGCTTTCTGAAGATTCATTAGGGCCATCATAGCATTTGGAAAAGCATTCAGATATGAAACAGTCAGTGCAGCCCAAAGGCTTATCAAATCATTTGTTGTTTATGTTTATCCATCATATGCTGTAAACTAACCTGTACAGACAAAAAAAACCATGTTCAAGGCAAAAAATGCAGGATGATTTGACACATACCCACATGCGTCGACTCTTTCTAAGTGAAAAAATAGAGTATGAGTCGACACATAGCCTTATGCATCGACTTATACTGTAAAAAATCTCCAAAACAGAAACGTGGAAGATGTTTGGGTCGACACATGCGCGTTTCGCGTCGATACAAGAAGAAGCATGAGTCGACACATCTCAGTATGCATCGACTCATACTGAGTTTGGTCAGATTTTACAGGGACGAGGAAAAGCTATGTGTCGATGCATAACAGCATGGGTCGACACATAGCAGTTCAAAATGCATTTTCCCTTTGTTTTGCACTGTTTTTACATTGTTTTCATTATTATTCGATATGGTTGTAATATTTCAGTTTCCACTTCATCCCCATTGTTAATTTGTACTCTCATCCCCCTAAAGTGATGTAATAGCTTAGGATTTATTTTCCGCATGTTTACTTGCTTTCATATATTGCTAGTAATTAGGATGTATGACAAGATAAAATCAACAAGTAGATAACCTTTCAAATACAAGACAAAATGCATGAAAACTAACACACTTGCACGCTAGCACCTCTAAGGTAATCTCATTTTGTTGCCTTTCGGAAAATAGTCATGTCCCTCGAACATGGTCATTTTAGCAAAAGACCCTCAATAAAAGATCGTAGTCCCTCGACGACCCTCGATGTTGCCTTCGATAAACGATCTAGTCCCTAAAACGATATTGCTAAAAATGTTCCATGGGTTGCATTCTATGACTATACAAACGTCCCACGCTCGTCCCTTCACATCCAATGATGGAACTTCTTACCAAAACAATTGTAAGATAGCAACATCTAAAGGAGGAGGAAAAGAATATCTAAGACCTTTTGAGTAGGTAGATTTGCTCCTAGTTGCTCGCTTGCTCACAACAAAAACATTTTTTACACTAACACTTTCATCTTGAAACATTTTCAAAAGACAAACATTTTGTACGCGTTCTTATAGAAACGAGAGCCATTACAAAGAAGACACATTTTTAAAATCACTTTCAAAAACACATTCCACAAACACATCTTTGAACTATCTTTGAAACAACACTTTGTACGCGTTCTTATAGAAACGAGAATCATTACAAAAACATTTTCAAAATACTTTCAAAACCCACACCACAAACACATTCAAACAAAAGCAAGTGATCTAGCGAGTAACTAAGAGTCCATGGAAAACCATGGATGAAAAGGGTGATAACACATTCCCTTTTTATAATCTACCACCCGAACTCAAGAAACATCTCTAAAGGTCTTGCCTGTGCTTTTTCACCTTTTCTTATTGGATAAAAGAAAAGTCGGTGGCGACTCTTGCTAAACCGTAACATTTGCAAACACAAACGCAAAACAACCAAGTCAGTTCTCCCACTGTATCACAAGTTGCGTATGACTGCGAGAACTTGTGAGAGATAAGTAGAGCAGCAGGCTCTGAAAGTAACTTCTGGTAAGAAGCGTCAAAAGCAAACTTGGTCAGAAGCCAGGAAGAAAACTAATGGTGGTCAAAGGTCAGAAGCTTCAAACTCTAATAGGCAGAAGAATGTCCAAAAGGGAAAGGAGAAGTATGACAAGAAGAATGTTCAGTGTTATTGTTGCAAGAACTTTGGTCACTATGAATAGAAAGGTTTATTAGGAAAGGGTGTGAAGTTTAAAAATAAGAAGGTTTTGAAAAAAATAAAATTTATGAAAATTAAAGAAGGGGAGGAGATGAAGAGACTATCCTAAAGCATAAAATAAAAGACAAGAAATAAATAGTCTCATTGTAAGGTAGCCCAAGAGAAAGCGTTTGTGTGTGCAAGTGAACTAACTACAAGAAGAGCAAGTATTTGACATTGGTCAAAATGAGCATTCTCTTTCGCTTTGGATTAAGCCACAAGTCATGTATAATAGAGAAACAATCACACAAGCTGATGAACTTTAAAAGCATCAGATAAAATCCAAAATATCATATGAAGGTCCAAGCATCAAATAAAGCTTAATGTATCAGATGAAATTCCAAGGTATCAGATGAATCTCAGGGCCTCAAATGAAAATACTCCAAGAAAATGAACTATCCTAAGTTCAAAGTCCAAATTCCTTAAGCAAGTGATAGTAACCAATAGTCCTCAAGAACACATTAAGAATTTTTAGAGTTTTGCCTTTATTAATATCTTTGATCGAAGGGAAAAGTACATAAAATAAATGACAAAAATAAAATGACATGTAATGTAAATACTCAAAATATAAATGACATTAAAGTAAATAGGCAAGAATTTAAATGAAATTAATGTAAAAGTTCGAAAAATAAAGTTAGCACAATAATATTTAGTTAATGTTAGTGTTAGTAGTTAATAATCCGATTCGAGTCAATTTAGCGCTATGTTAAGCAATCGTAAGTGAACTTATGTAGAAGTTGCACCTATCTGAGGTCGGACAATACCAATATAAGTGTAGTGCATGTTAGAGAAATGATACAAGGCCATTCTACGAAAACAATGCAACACCAACGTTTAAAAGAAATCAAAATAAGAAGAAGATAAAAGGTGATCAATCGTAAAGGCAAGGGGATTGGA